ATGATTTTGATTTTTGATACTCCAAAATTTCTAGAAACATTATCTGCTAAATAATTTAATGTTTAAAAGGTGGTTTTAATTTGAAAAACAGAAGTTTGTGTCTCCGTAGAATATTCTTTAAGTATAATACAAAGCAATCTCAGTAATTTGAAAATATGGTCTTTAAGTTTAAACAGTGGCGCCGAATCTATACATGAACTGAAACGATCGCTTCATATATATGTTAAAATAATATAATATTAACATAATATATGTTAAAATCCTCAGAGGTGGGCGAGCGGGTGTGTAAATATTTTGATTTTGCTTCACTTAAATTTATAAAACTCAATGCCATTAAGTTTAAATATACGAAAAATCAGATTTTAAACAACTGTGTTATTAAAAAAAGAAAAAGAAAAAGAGGGTGATCATTCTTAGGAATCACCCTGTAATTTGTATATAGACCTATACATGTTGTATTATAGCATACATTTATAAAACAACAGTTGTAGCTACGATACGAGCTAAGCAACGTAAAACACGTACCTAAGTAATTCAATTACATTTTATTTTAATTAAATTTACACTCTATTTGATTTAAAATTTTTATAAATTACTTAAAAATATAAAATGATATTTTCTTATCAAAATTTATGATAATTTTTAAATATCAGATACGGTATACGGTTAATAGTATTATATACCCACTTTTCAATCATTGTTATATACAAATAAACCCACTTATTAATTTTTTTTTTTGTAAATATCGAAATCATATCATCTATTTTATCTTTATATAGTATACGCCTCTTAATACGCATACACTACACGCTAGATTTCACAAAAACGTTTGCAGACGTATTTAGTTATGTATTACTTTAGTCTTTAAGGTTACAAATAATATTAATACCTCGTATTCCTTTAAGTGTACATATTTTATGCAATATTTCAATCGTTTTTAAACGATTTTTTTAAGCAAACAATTACTTTATTTTGTACTATGATTAGTGGTGTATTGGTAAATAAATTTATAGGTATACGCACTTAAAAGTAGTTGAACAGGTATACCTTAAAAAATTATACTAGAAGAGTTACGTTTTTTACGATGAATTAGGCTTTTTTCATTTTTATTAATAAGAATGCGCAACTCACATATTTAGGAATGTTCCTCAGATTGCGTCGTGAAATTTCCAGCACATTTCGAATGATATTTTCCATTACAACTTATACAAACAATTTTATTTTTGTTAGGAGACACAGATAAACTACACTAATCATATATCTTAGACATAATAAAGACGATAACTTAATATTTGGTATGAATAATGTACAACTATATATCAACTATGAGAATCAGATCGGAATCATGGCGAAGCATTAAGCAAAAACATGTTTGCCGATTAATCGGCGACCAATTATTATTATTTCTTTAATTAAAATTATTTTGACTTCTTTATAGAGATATTAAGAACACATAATTATTTTCATCTGTTCAATGGAAAAAAAACGTGTAACGAGATTGCGACGAATTAAGTCAAAAAGCTTGCAAACGATAAAATGCCAATACGTTATAATATCGCTTAAAATTCCAGAGAGATCGATGGCTAATAACAAAAATAATATTACTATGACAACAACAACCCACAAAAATTTTACGAACGAGAACGTTAACTACGACGTATTTGTGGGTTGTTGCACAAGACGTACCCGTAAACAGAACAAAGCCAAAAAAGAACATAGACTGAGGATCGAGGACCAATGGATCTTGTTGAGGCGAGTAGATAAGAAAATAAATTAAGTCGAACGGGTGTTAATCCCAGCGTCGGTGTCTGTGTCACAGATCAATTGTGTTAAACTGGAGATGTGGACAGCGGCAGTAGCGAGTTGTACAGCGACGTAATATATCGGACGCTATTATACAACACTCCGGAAGACGTGTGTCACTTACATTCAGAGGACGCTCAATGATTGCAAGTGAACGCGGACGGCTCGCGAACCGTGGTCGCAAGTCGGACACAGTCAGCGAGATTTTCAAAGCCGCAGGTGCAAGTTAGACGGACACGACGATGGCAAACCCTTGGTCGTCCAATCAATTTATACCGTTCGATGTGCGCCCGGCAAGTTTTTTGGTGACGACGACCCTCGAACGGCATGTACCTGGCGTTCCTGGTCCGGTTCGACGCACCCGGGGTTTTCATGACGGTCGCGGACGTGCACTGTCCCGGCGTCCGGACCAGCCACCCCGCCGTTGACTTCCAGTCGCCGTCAACCGATGACCGTCCGCAACCGTCCAACGACCACCAGCTTTTCGTCGGCCACAATTTCTGAGGATGTATCCTAGGAGTTTGCTCGATTTAGGACGGTATTGAATGTCTGCGTCAAAAGCGGCTTTGACCGGACCGGTATAAGAATGAATTCAATTATGGATTTGTGTCATTCAGTGGGCCCAAGGACGTTAATGTTGCACTTGCCGGAACTCCGATCTTGTTGATCAACAGCAATCGGGTCAATGTTAACAGGTCCAAACGCCAGTAACGCCAATATATTCATTAACACCTCATAATCCCTCATCCCCTCATCCCTCGTTTTTTAGCCATCGCCGTTAGGTACAGGTAATTTATAACTTATAAATTTAAATGATTTAGGCATTAATAACTATAATTTTATAGGTAGTTGATGAAAAATTGTTATAAGAGAATATCCACTCTCCGATTTGAAAACATGTCAACATTCAACGACCGGAAACGAAGATACTTAATGATTCTATAGTACACTGCAGTGACACTCGTAAATACGAGACAGCGAGTTTCCAGAGCCAATACTTTGAAGAACGTACGTAAGGACGGAACAATGATCGAATCCGTCGAAGTAACGGCCAGAACGAAACGACAATCGACGACAAGGACGCCATTTAGTTAATAGAATTTATCAACTACTGCTGACACACCTCCGGCAACAACGGGCGGCTCACTACCAACGGCCTTACGCCCTTACACGCAGTTGTCACCATCCTTTGTTACCGGTCACGCAGTGTCTTTCGTGGTTGCGACAGCGTTCAAAAATCGATCTACCATTGCGATTGAGCATAAAAAAGTCCTTTTTAAGACTATATTTACAAAGTCCCGCACCCACTTAACACGCCTGTTCAAGCATTCGCTCCGAACCACTCAACCTGATCACGACTTACATAAGACCACGGAAAGGTATTGCAGACTCATCCCTATTGTATATAATTCTACAATAAATGTCCCACATATTATATCAAAGTCTCACCTTCACAGGTCCGAAACCATCTGTCATGGCTTAGCTTATGCAAGCCAGTCGCGGGGTCTGAAATAAATTTACCCTCTACACATTGTTATATTATGTTAACTGATTTATGATATTTAAAAATAAACATCCTACGTCATACCATAAATTGGCATTATACATTTATAAATCATTTATAAAGGTAGGTCACCGAATACCGGCGTACCGTATTATATTATTGCAGACATCATTTGACATTGCAACACTTTAAATTACAATAATAATAAATAACTTTAACACGATGAAATACTAAAAAAAAAAAAATATTTATAACAATAGAACTTAAGTATAGTATAGTCAATAATTTTTTTTCTGAATAATACTAAATCTAAATATATAAATTGAATGGAAAGTTCGTCATAAGTAGTTCCAACATTTACCAATTAAAAAAAGGTAAGCTACAAGTTGGTACCAATTTGCTGTATATTATAATATGTCAAGTGGATTACTGTTTTAGACATGTTTATAAACATAAAATAAAAAAAACATATAATAACTTCTCAAGTCCCCATATTCGTACACTTCTAATAGGTGCGAGTGGTATAGTAATCGTAGTGCAGTAGGTACATAGCATTTAAACAGTAAATTTCACAAATTTTAGATGCGAAAAATAAAGTTTTTAATTTTAAATAAATATACTATTAGGCATTTAAAAAAAATCAACTTATTATTTTATATTATAATCCTCGTCTATACCTATATACTATATTATATTATAGTATTATATAAAACGTACAAATGTATGCGTTTACATGTATAAATAATTATGAAACAAATTAAATAACAAATTATAATTAAGAAAATACGTGTTAAGTTCAACATTTTATTAATAGTTAAATTATTTAACGTATTAGATTTAAGTTATAATCTATAGATAATTATACTAAACTTCTTTGAACTCTCTTTTCATACACTATTTCCGGAAAACATATGTTCAAATTGTAGACTTGAAATTAACATAAAAATCTTATTATGTATACCTCCAACCTCCAACATTTTTTGTGTTGTTTTTTTTTTAAGTACATCTAGTTTTAAATAAGAATTACAGTTAGCAATTTTGATAATCTTCAAATATTGTCATCAGTTTTAAACATTATTTTTAATTTCGTATATTAAGTTTACGACTTCTTGTATGCGGTTTCTAAGTTGATTTACAAATAAATAAAAAAACTTTATCAACTAATATCAAAAAATGAATAGATATGTAAATATATTTTGTATTTCATTTTTTTTGAAACCCTTAAACTAAAATTGCTAATATTAATTTTTTTTGACAAAAATAAATTTGAAATTCATCGTATTATATTTTATTAATATACAATAAACAATAATAATAAAATTCATAATATACATACGTATAATATTATGAACGCCATATTACATTGTTATCTATTATATTTATTATTAATTTTATATGTTAGGCCTTTAATATATATATGATACTATGATTTATGTACATTACGATTCATGCATGTGCATAAAGAAGAATTTACTCGTAGTCATTCGCTCACTTTTAAGTTGTAATAATAAGTATTTTACTGTTATTGTAATATATATGCTTACAACGTAATTATCGTTCAGGAGGAGAACGCTGGGCGCGTCCGTAACAAACGCAGCCATTGGCCGAAGACCGTATCCAATGGGGTGGTTTTTGTCGGGCTGTATTTTCCGGAGGGATGTTTGTACTGTCAGTTAAATTTCGAAATCATAATCATCCCCGTCGTGGTGCGCTATGGCTGGAGGACCTTACTTATCGCCGTTACCCGGCGATCTTTTATCGGAATACATGTTTGGTAGACGTAGACAGGCAAGTTCGTTCAATCGCTTAAAAAAAAATTTTTTTTGTAGTAAAAAAACAAGTAGCTTGTTTTAAATTATAAAATATTACTAAATTTATTAAAAATAGTTTATTATTCTTATAAATAGAGAAGAAACCGAACGACATTTACGCCACAACAGCTACAAGAACTCGAAAGCCTTTTCCAGAAAACTCATTATCCGGACGTATTTTTAAGAGAAGAAGTAGCTCTTCGAATTAATCTTTCTGAAGCTCGTGTACAGGTAAATATCAAACATTTTTTTATAAGTTACTATCTACTCATATATAATTTTTATACCTAATGTTTTTACAAAGTAATCGTTTAAATTGTTATCGAAATTTTTGCTTATTTCCTCGTAAATCTTTAAATTGAATTTTGAATAAATATATATAGTATAAAATATACATGTAGATACTTTTGTGTTCGTGTAATCGTGTACAATAAATTATTTATTAATAACTGTATAAAGTTTTATTATTTGTTTTAAAAATTTCATTTATTTTATTTATCTGCATAACTTATAAAAATACATTTTTTTATAAAATATACTTAATATTTAAGTCTAGTTCAATGATTAAGTCCATTTATTTTATTTGATCAAAATATTTGACATGACACTTTTTTTAAAATAAATTACTTTGAAAAACTACGCAATATTGAATAATAAAAACAAAAACCACAAATTATAAGCTTTACTACAAAATATTAAGTCAATTCTAGAAATATGTAAATACACATTTAAAGAATTTGTATTTTTTTAAATCTAAAATGTTTTCATTCCATTTATTTATTTTACCACGATTTTTAAATTTTACATAATCCTAATTTGTTTAAAAATAAAAATAATGAATTATGATCATAATTCTTATTTTATAATTGGTATATAATTACTATAAAAACAAAAATATTGCAGTTAATTTAGTTATTTTTGGTTATAGGTATGGTTTCAAAATCGCAGAGCTAAATGGCGCAAACACGCACGGCTTCAAATTATTCAAGACGCGTGGAGAATTCGTTGCATGGGTTTGAACACACAATCGCTTTTATTGAGTAAGTTGATTTACAGAAAACTTAATTAAAGACTGATTTTTTCAACGCGGATTTTTTCCATTCTCAGGTCGACAAACATCCGAGGGAACGACTCAATTGGCAGACGATAAAGAACCTCCACCAACGCCTCCTACCCAATCGACTGTAGTATCATCACCTACCCATGTACCGGGAAGTTACAGAATGCTTCAAAAGTATAGTTATAAATCACAGACAATAAATAGTTTTTGAAATTAATTAACACACACACTTTTAGTTTTCAAGTAACAGAAAGACCGCCAATAGTTGGACCGCCAACAAAAACAGTTACTACTAAATTGTTCTGCCCGTATTCTTCTACTGGTAAGATTATTAATTAAATAATATATTATTTCTAATTTAAAAAAAAATATACATTTTGTTATTTAAACAAGAATATTAAACTATTTAATCAAACTGCGTTTATAATACAATATGACATAACAAATAATTCATTTTATTTTTCTTGAAACATATTTAGTTTAACTTCATTTCTATTATAGTTCAACAATTGCAATACCTATATAAAATTTGATATGTCAGGTTCATTAGCTTTATCAACTATTGTCTATTAATAGTATTTAATTTGAATACTACAATACTGCCACATACTTAATAATTATTACATAATGTATAGACGACAGACGTACAACAATAGATATTTACGGAATACTCGGAACTTCTGTATAATACTATAATGTAATTTTATTTTATACGTGATATAAATATTTAGCTATTAGTAATCAAATCATTTAAACAAAATTTATAGTTATAAGAAGTATTCTACTTTGATTATTACCACCCATTAACAGATAGTTAAGTTCAGATGTTCTATATTCTAAATTTACCAAGAAATTTCTTTGTTTATTATTTCAAAAAATGACAATAAAAGTAGATATGCTTAACATTATATCATATAATTTACCTAATATTTTATATTATACTTATTTCATATCATCCATTTTCAGAAAATGAAATTTCGAATAGACGTTCAGCTCATCAAGACAGTAGGTCTGATATGAATGGAAACCTATCTTTAATGGTAGGCTCTGTGGATTTAACATGCTCAAAATCTCGGTCTACCAGTCCTGAAGAAGAAAATGACATAAATGTAAATGATTAAATATATTTTAATCAGAATAAATATTTCAGAAAAACAAAATGCAAATTACTTTTAATTTAAGTCCTAGTTAAAAATATTATGTACAATTTAAATACCTAATATTAATTTCTTACAAATAATTAATTAAATAATTAAAAAAATATATTAAATTAATCATATATAGTATTTTACTCTTTATTATCATAAAACATTAAATTAAAAATTAAAATGTATAATATGTAATGAATACATAATAAACAAATAAGTGAGTAATTTGTAGACAAAATTGTTTACTATCTTTATTATAAGTAATCTTTTTAAATAATAATATTTTTTATTTGTATATTAATTAAATTTTTATGAAAGTGACTTTAATATGCTTTATGAAAATTACTTGTGCACAAATAAATGTAAATATAGTATTACTCTATTAACTAGTGAAAGTGAGACTAGTTCTATTATGTTAACTAAAATATTTTAAACAATGACTGATCATACAATTTAATTCGATATCTTCTTTTATTTATGCTTCAAAATTATAATTTTATACAATATGCAATTAAGTAGATAGTAATTGAATAAATCGTGCAAAGTCGCTTGTATTTCTTTAATCATATGAGTACATTCTATTAAAAAATACATTATTATTTATTTTTGTTGTCATTTAAATTTTGGAAAATTAAATTAATAAATTTATCTATTTTATAAACATGAATCGTATTCGTATATACTATTAGACAAATCTTTGATGATGGTAAAATAAATAATTAGTTTTTGGAACCTATTGTTATATATAAATATATATACCTAATCTTTTGGTTCCTTAATGGTTTTGTAAATTTGTAATAAGTTTAATCCGAGATTAAACCTTAAATTTACCAAAACTTAAATAAGTAGTAAGTAAGTACTTACTTTATTGACCTGCATTTTATATCTAAAATACAATCGTAACATGCGTCATGCGTAATCTCAATTAGATTCAAAGTAATTGTTCTTTATTTGTAAAAAATATGAAATTAGAAAAATTTTACCTGCATAAAGGAATATATCTTAAATTATGTATTTACGATATATTACAATCATTCATCGCAATATTTGATTCTTTTTTACGCCATATTCTCGAATTATATTTTTTTCGAGAGAATATAAAAAACCAACTCCAAAAACTATTTTCCTGAAAACAAAAATTTCATATGAATTTTCTTTGTTTAAAAATGTTGTTATTAGGTATTATAGGTATAAATATGATTATAGTAGGTAAAATACCTACTTTAGTTATTGATTATTGATCGATAATTTTTTACTTACTTTTTTATTAAATATTTAAAAAAATGTTAAAACAGTTATTTAAATGTAATGAAACTATATTTTGAATATTGTATGTATACTATTGTTCCCAAACAAATCTAATTAATTAGTTTTCGCTATTATTATTATTCTATTCAACAAATGTATTGATACTTTATCTACTTATGACTTATAGTTATCAATCACATGTTTGAATCAGACTATTGAATCCAAATTATCAATACATATATAGGTAATAAAAAAGTTTTAAAATTTATAATAATGGATTAAATTTTTGAACAGATAGGTAAGTATAAGAATTATTGTATGATTGATATAAATCTATATAACTATATATTTTAAAATAACGAATTATGTTTATTAGGTTATTTATTTTGATTGAGTATAATGGTTGAAGTTAGTGTAAATTTATTCAAACGTTTTACAAATAATTAATTGTTGTTTATATAATAATTTATTATAACATTTATAACCTACATCAGAATACATCGTTTACATTTACTTTTACAATTGATGATGTAATACCCACGTATTTCGCAATTTCTTGTATCACTAATAATATGTAAATATCAAACTCAGTTATAGAATATATAGTTGGATAGCTACCAGCTCAAAATCAATATTTTTAAATTGTAAATTACAAACAAATGGAGTTGATCATTAATAATTACTAAAATATATAGTAAATAAAATAAATTTTAAATTGTATAACAGGTCAATATTTAAAAATGTATGTGACTAAGATTAGCTTTTTTTCAAATACGCATTGATAGCTAAAATATTAATTAATGGTGGTAACATTCCTACCGCTTTGTTGCTTTGGGCATCATAATTTTTCGCTAAAACCGGCCTTTCTATTTACAGCCAAGAATTAAAATAGTAATATATATATATTTAAATATTTTCATTTTCCGTCACAGTAAATTTCAGGTTTTCGATTTTCGTGACCTCTTATTGTAAAGATGTATAGGTATATTATATTAAAGACCACGTACATAATATTTTCACAATAGGTGTATTTTCACTATTATAATAGGAAAGAGAGAGAAAAATTACCTTAGATAATATGGTAATAATACATGTAACGACGATAAAGTATAATTATGATTTTATTAACTAAAATTTTATTTTATTATTTTACTAAGCTTTCGAGTAAATATATGTTTTTCTAAATAAATAAAATTAAAATTAATTATTTATTTAATTTATTATTTACACTTATAAATTGTAATAACTAATAAAATTATGAAATACCTATTCAATCTTTACCAAGTTTTTAAGTATTACTTGAATATAAACTTTTTAAGTTATTTTTAAAATCATCGTCATTTATCGATAATCCCACTTATTTTTTATAGAATGGGATTACCAAAATCTAAAAAACTGAAATTTACTGCAGTCACGTGTGATAAAAAATTAAAATATGCATTATTATACTTTTGCTTTCACTGAATATGCCGAAATAAATATTTCTCTGATTAATATTTAATTTTATTATGGTTTTATATTTATTTAATCTTAATATTTTAAACATAAAATATACTACCAATTACTACTATTGATTGTATAGTAAAGTTTACTATATTATAAATGATATTACAATTTGTTTTGTCTATGCCAATAGTCCTATAATTTTGTGAATTTAATAAACGATTAAACGAAAAAATGAACATGTTAGCTTACAATACAAACTAGACAAGCCACATTGCTACCAGTAAAAGTGGGAGAAAGATTGTTGTGGACAATTTACCTTCTAATACATCATAATATATATATATTAGTTTCAAATTGAAATCATTTTAGTCATTTTACATTAGATCATATACCTAGGTAGTCAGTAGGTGCCTACTGAAAATAAAAGTAGTAGCTCGTTAATATAGTATATGAGAGAACGTCGCAATAAATGTAAGTACAATGCTAAAATATTTTTATTTTAATTTACGTTATTATTATTAATAACTTGTTTCAGTAAAAACAAAAATAAATATATATTAATAGAAAGTACCTACTTATGTAGCTTTTATTAATTTTTTATCATTCATATTAAATATATTTTGTAATCATAACTATAAATCTGACTTTGACATCATATATTAAGAATTACAATGGTTTTATTTTAAAATTTTAATTAAGTGAAAATATTTTCCAAAAATTAGGTATTCATTATCTATATTATCTATATAAATGGCTATATTATATACATATTTATAAGTTAATATAAATTAAAAATAAATTCTTATTTTTCGAATCTCATTGCAAAATCATTTTAAAAATAATATTTTTATTCCCTATAGTCTTATAAAATATGACTTACCTACTATAGTACGAGTATAATAACTTTTATTTCTATGAACTATTTGTTAATAATATTTTAATTTTTAATGAAATACCTGACTTTTATTTGCAAATTAAAATATTTATAAAAATACATTACATGTGTCTAATACTGTTGTTTTATTATAATTTACAATTTTTTTTTTCGTATTTAAATAGAATAAAAAACATGGGAAGTTGGGCATGTATTACATGTGCATTACTAATATTTCACTTCTTAGCCATTAATGAAGCAACCGTTGAAAACAGTATACCGTTCATCAGGTAAATGAAAAATTAATAAAAATGATATTTATTATTTGTTAAAGAAGAGATATCTTAATATCTATTACCTAAGCATAGGAACATTGAAATATTTAATAAAGATAACCATATAATGTTTTTTAAATTTGTATTAATGACTGATGTACTCTGAAACTTTTAAGACTGATAATTTAATATTAATAATAATATAAATCATCATAAAGTAATAAAGTCATGACCCATAACCTCAGTAAAATTAAGTAACTACTTATTGATTCAATCATTAATTTATGATATTAACAAAATATTGGTTATCAATAATCATTATGATAATATACACTAACCTTTCTTTGGACAATAATTACACTAATTATTTATTTACCTATAATAGTTATAAATTATTTTCATGTTATTTTACTTAAACTATCCCACAATAATTATTATTTTTAATTTTTATTATGTAAAATCGCTGTTGGTGATGAAATCTAAAATTATGAAAAATTGATTTATTTCAAACTCAATTAAAATACTTAACCTTATTTCAAACTCTGGTCGTACTTTCTATTTTTTTAATAGCTTATAATTTTGTTAGGTACAGATACAAAAACATGTAAATCACTAATATTACCAATCAGGAAAAATACACAAAAATAATGTTTAAATATTTTTATACCATATATCACATTCTATTATGATAATAAATATTATGTATACGTTTTTTTTCTTTTTATATTTGAAGTAAAATTTACAAATGCGTAAACCATAAGTGTATAATAAGCGAATTTCAAAATGAAACTAAAGAAATTAATGAACCCAATGAATCATTGGACGTTTGTCGATTAACCTGTGGACAATATGGGTCACTTTGGCCGAGGCCGACTATAATGACTACAATAAAGTAAATACAAATAAATAAATGTACTTATACCTATTTAGTTTTGTATGAATATTATATTGTTGGTTTGAATAACGAATTGTAGAAATTCAGTGATTGAATTTGGACTTGACAATGTTGTGTTTAACTTATCATCCGTGGTCGATGAACTCGGAAAACAATACATGGATGAAGTGTCTCAAGTCTTAATGTCGTCGTTAAGAACAATTTGCAATCCCCGATGTACTCCAAACGACAACAACTTGACTGTGTTCATAACCACGACCACTCATTTTACTAATATTAAGTGGTCGACGAACGAAAGTTATGAATTAAACATTTCCACTAATTGTAAGACGAGACATAGTGTGTTTCATATACTTATTAACAGGGTTGAGATTTTATAGCATTTGTATATTTCTTATGAGATGCTTAAAAAATATCAGAGTAAGCTAAAAATGTGTTTTATGAAACAGAGAACTAAGAAAAAAAATGTATTTTGCTTTTTTTTGCATATTTTACAATTTTTTATTTTTTAAAACTTTTTTGGACTTTTTTTGCATTTTACCTGTTTTTGAATCGAAATTGGCCATATTTTATGAAATTATATTTTAACAAAACGTGTTTTTAGATTTTTGTCAATCGAATTATCAAGTAAATTTTAAATGTATAGATTAAGTAAATAGACCGTTTACGCTGATGTAATGCCGTACAATTACCTACAGCGATAATATATATATAGGTATAATATTATACTAAGATAATTTCGTATTAGGTATTTGGTTTTAATTTTTATTATCTGCTGTTTTATTGGGTTTTTGTCGATTCTGCTGTATGATTTCCTTTTTTGCATGTTTTGTTGTATTTATTGCATATTTATGCAATTTTAAGTGCTATAAAATTCCAACCCTGTTTATTAGCAATAAGTGGTACGTTCTGACAACAGTTCACACAATGCAAATGTTTCTTTATAGTAGACCAAATCACTGCAAACATTACAGCACGGACCGTGTACGGTGCTAGGAACGGATTGGAAACATTACGACAGTTGATAGTAGCGTACGGTCGGCCTAATTTCAACGACAAGACACTGGTAGTGGCTAGAGAGGTACAAATAGTCGATGAACCGGTGTACGCGCATAGAGGATTCTTGTTGGATACCTCGAGGAATTATTTCCCATTATCGGCGATCAGAAGAACGATCGACGCTATGGGTCATTCCAAACTCAATGTATTCCATTGGCACGCCACCGACTCTCACAGTTTTCCATTAGATTTGCCTAGTGCTCCGCAAATGGCAAGGTGAGACGTGATTATAATAATGCACAACTATAGGTACCAATAGTCTGGTAAATTTAAGTGAAATGACATCGTGATAGACATAAATATAAAATAGAGTCCGGACGACGTCATCGTAAAATAACATATAGGTACTCGATTAAACACTTGATCTATTATCCGACGAAAAAGGGGCAACTAACCTGTGAGTGAGTAAATAAAATTATTATTATCCCGATAATAACGAACATCATTATTTTATACACGTTTTAAATATATAAAAATATAACAATACTAAATTATAGGTAAGTATTATCTTGTTAATTATTACACGTTTGCTAACCCGATTTAGGTACAATGGGCCTATAAAAATCGTATACCATAGTATAATGATTTGATGTAATATACGTGAAATAAATATTAATATAATAGGTACAACAGTGATTACATATTCAGCTCACATCAAACATCAACTTCGTGTATTATAGATATGGTGCATATAGTCCCGAAAAAATATACTCACACAAAGACATCAAAGATCTTCTGAGGTATGCATTAGTTAGAGGAGTGAGAATTATCATGGAAATCGATTCGCCATCACACGCGGGTTACGGATGGCAATGGGGAAAAGATGCCGGTTATGGAAACATGGTGATCTGTCTGGGAAACCGTCCATGGGAGGATTATTGTTTACAGCCACCGTGTGGACAACTAAATCCACTAAACAATCACACGTACACGTGGTTAGGAAAAATTTATAAAGATTTGGTCAGCATATTTCCCAAAGGAGAGGCATTCCACATGGGCGGCGACGAGGTAATTTATTTTAATTTTTTTTACCAACATCGCGAACTTCATTAAATAATAATAATAAAAAAAAAAAAACGTAAATTTTGATTTTAAAAACTGTCTTAGGTCGCCGTGCGGTGTTGGAACACAACAGACGAAATCGTCGATTGGATGAAATCTAACAATCGAAGCTTATCTGAAAGCGCATACCTGGATCTATGGTCCGAATTCCACAATAAAGCCTTAACTGTATACGACGACAAAGTCGGCGATTCAAATTCGGACATAATTGTTTGGTCTAGTGGATTGACCGATCCAAGTATCATAGAAAAGCATCTCGACAAAAAACGATATACCGTGGAAGTCTGGCAAGGCAATACAGTTTCGGTTGATTTAGCAAACTTAGGCTATAAAGTAATTGTGGCCGTAGAAGATATCTATTACCTGGATCACGGATTGCGGCCGCCGACCACTTACCATTCGTGGAAGGTTATTTACAACAACAAATTGCCAATGGCCAATAATTCTAATCTCATTTTAGGGGCAGAAGTAATAGCCAATAATAATAATCAAAATAATTAAACCGTCGTGTATTAATTCAATACGTTTTCCGCAGACCTGTATGTTTTCCGAATTCGCCGACGATTTTAATTTGGATATTAAAGTTTGGCCGAGAGCTGCAGCTTTAGCTGAAAGGTTATGGTCGGATCCGCCCACTAACGCTTTGGCTGCCGAGTATAGGTAACAAATAACTACTATTATTACGTCACCAACAACCGAAATAACGAATTAAACGAATTTATAATAATAAATATTTTTAACATTTTATAGACTATTGCAACATCGTGAACGACTTATATCATTAGGAATCAAACCGGATAGAATTACTCCAGAATGGTGTAATGATCGTGAAGGCGAATGTATTATTAGTTATTGATAATTCAAACGTAAAAATTATAAATAATGAAGTAGGCTAAATGTTATGGTATTTTGGGATTTCAATTTTTAAAGTTTCAATTGCTTAAGAATTATATTATGCATACAACACCATAACTATTTACTGTTGCACATTTTGAGCAAAAAATCGTCGATCGCATTTTTTTATAATGTGATATAGCATTTCTTAACGTACTGTAATTATTATGATGATTTAAAAAATTGTGAATCGTCAAATTTTTTTTAAGATATGGTAGTTAAAACATACGTCTTGTAATTAGCGATTTTTTTCTCTGCAATGGAGAAGTAAAAATCGGCGATAATAAAAACTAAATATTTCTTAGACTAATTATAACTCCTACTACCTATATTTTAACTCCCTATTTTCTAGGTAGTTGACATTATCTTGTTTCTCTAAAGAATTTTCCCGATATTTTAATTTTAAAGCAAGTTATATGTACGTTTGTATATTAGTTTTAAAATTAAAATATAAAATTGGTTAGTTCTTTATTTTATTGAATTCACCGGACGAAACTAAACATGAATGTAAATTAGCCATCATACGTGTCTGTAAGGTTGAGAAAAATTTACAATAATAATTAGCTCCATGTTTCCATATTGTAACCGTGAATGAGCATAATTTTTTCTAAAGACATTTTAAATCTAAATTAAGACGTAACTCTACATCTTTCAACTTTGAATAGGTAACGATATTCATTAATTTGTTATTATTCGTAAATATTCGTGGGAATATTAAACTTTTACGTACCTATATAATATATTCATAGACAAAATTAAACATTTGTTTAAGGCTAGGCCAATATATTTTAAAATTTCTCTTCCCCTCATCAAAAAAATAATAACAATTCAAATTTGTATACCTTTTGGCTTTTATATAATGTTATTGAAAAACTTGTCAATATTTTATACTATTAGTGTTCTATAGTAAGCCATAATCAGTCCATAAGCAACAGTGCTTCCAGTTGAGGTACAAAACACTAAAAACTAATCCAAAAAAATGATTCGGTAAATTCAAGCACTTTAATGTGCATAATAGTTCACAAGCAGTTTGTCATATTATTTAAAATTATTGATGCACGCAGTTTTTTTGGGGGGTTTCCGATCACCAATAAGATTTATATAACATTGCCAATTATATTTGCACATCTTTTTACCATGACGGACAACACAAAGTGATGGTTAATCAAGTTTCTACTGTAAATATACGAGTTTGGTAAAAAAAAAAAAGAATACAAACCGCTATTGTTTTATTCACGTTGTCAATAAAGCTTTTCCATTTAACAATAATACTTTAAAAATATTGACAATCAATAATTAATACTTGAATACTTTTCAAAAAATTGTAGGAATGCAACAGTTAATATTCATGTATACTCGTGTAGTCGTATAATAGTAGTAGATACAAGAACTGTTCTAGTGTTTGGTATAATATTCATTGTTATTATCAATTATAATAGAATTAATTAAAATGAAAACGTAAGTTATGAAAAATTTACTACAAATGTAGGTAGTAAAAACATGTTTGTCACAAAAAAAGGTGTACATATCGATAAATTTAAAAAAAATATATACATTATATAAGTCAACCAATAAAAACAAAAATATAAATAATTCAAATAAATAATAATGATTAAAAAAAAAAAAAAAAAAAAAAAAAAAAAACAATTCAATACATATTATTACATACAAATAATACAATTAAATGGATGGAATAGTTTGATTATTTAAAAAAATAATTTTATTTGATACAAAATAATTCAAATTATATTATGAAATATATTTTATTAGATATTGACTAGTTACATTTAATATTTTTAATGAATTGATGATATGAAAATTGCTTGAATCAATGAAGTAAAATATAAACTTTAAAGAAAACAACTTAAATGAAAAATGCACTTAATTTAAGAATATGCTACTAAAAAGATACCCATCCTTTAAGCATATCTTTACACATACATTAGTAAAACAAATTTAAATAGCACTTATCTAACTGTACCGCAGCTGTTCCCAGACCCAAGAAAAATAATATGTAAAGAAATAAATACTAAGATACTACTTAGATTATGTACAAATTTATTTTATACCTAGGTAGTATATTTACATTAAAAACATTTCAGTAATCATCAACCCAATTAAACACTGCAAATCAATCTATAATACTCTAATTATATACTTTATAAAATATTATCTTATAAAATATAAATATAATAAATAACATATAATAATTTCTTAATCAAATAAAAAAATATGTATGTGATGCATATTAATACCAATATTTTTGGATACATTAAAATAGTAAAAAAAATTTTAGCAATAATAAATATTAAAAATATAATATAACATATGGTTTGTGTACTATAACTTGAAATAACTTAACATTTTTTGATTATTTTATATTTTCATTAATAACATATAGTTGAATCTTAAATATTAACAATACTAAAAAACAATATCATAAAATTAAAACAATATTGGTATATTTGAAAACATAAAATGGTTGTTCATTAATTATCAGTCATCTCTAATTAATATAATAAAATATAAACGGTAACAATACTACTAATTTATTTAACTGAAGCAAAATTTCAAACTTTAAGGGTTTCTGGCTGCATCAAACATAACTGAAAATAAACAATTAATATGAGATTATTTAATTATAGATTATTCTAAGTTAATTTTTAAAAATAATGTTAATATGTTAATAATTTAATAAAATCCCTACCATTTCAGATTCTAATTCATAAAAACAATGTATTGATTTTACAAAGTGTTTTTAAACAAAATTGTATCTTAATATGTAAACAACTAAAATTATATGAGAAATAAATTTATGACTCAAAGAAGTAATTGTTTAAATCTAAAAATGCAAAAATTACATCATGATAAATAATTTTAAATACAGTTTTTTTATAAGTATGGTTTAATGTGTACAGTAAAATTTCAATTTAATGACAATTTCAAAATTATTTTTCTTGAATTTCTTCTTGTTTTAATTTTAAAAAGGTTAATTCTTTAAAATTATTGAAATTGAGTAAAATTTGACATACCTACTAGTAAGTAGTGACATGAATTACTAAATTTTATTATTTATGTTACATTATTATAATTCAAAAAGATTGCATTAAATTAAATCAAACCTAAGTATTATGTGTATTATGTGTAATTATTCATAAAATCACTAAAAATATTTTCTTTCTAAATAGAAATTTTTTATCATAATTATTATAAAAATAAAAACTTTGAAAAATATAACTAATTCTTGGGAATAAAATCTACAATTTATTTTGTGCAATGAATAATGAAGAGTGTGTATTTCATCCATCTATATATAATATATATATTAAATTTAATTCAATCATATAAAATATCAAGATATATATATCAAAATAAAAAATTAACATAAGCATCACTTAATAAGCATTTAAAGAATTAATAATGTTAATAGAAAGCAAAAAATGCATACATTTTAATAAGCAAGTTATGAAATGTGTACCTTGGACACGGTGATTGTAAGTATGAATAATTTTTGGATTTACCAACAACATCATAATTGGGATTAGAAAAAGACGATGGTTTTGTTAGGTTTATATAACCAGAACACTCGACTAAAAATTATATAAAACAAAGTTTATTATGTAAAAATATCTACCAAAAATACCAATGTTAAGTCAACAACAAGCCTATGAAGCAATTTAAAATTGTTTAATTATAAATTAGTAAAAAGTATTATAGGAAATTCAATTAACCTGGATTATGTAGCATAGGTTTCAATTCCAAATCATCTTTGCTTTCTGAATGTTCAGAACTGTTAGGGCATGAATTCAAATTATTTTCAGACACGGTTGAACAATTTAAATATGTTGGTGCCGTTAAAAGACTTAAGTAATCAGTAGAAACTGATCCCTCTGTATTCATTCTCATATATACCTCATTTAAATTCATATAATGCTAAAAGTGAAATATATTTATGTATAAAGTTTTCAATATGTATACATGTGGATATTATACAAATAAAATGTATTATTATTTATACTTACTGATTTGGTACCATCTTGTAACAAATCACCAAGACGTTCAGCTAAATCAGTGAACGAAGGCCTTGTCATAGGATTCATTTTCCAACAGTCTAACATTATGTTGTATCTAAATTTATATAAAAATAAATAATAATAAGCTTTAAAATATTATAAGAGATTATTAACATATTTAAATAAAAACATATTTTTTTTCTTTAATGATAACTTACATATCAGAATTGGCATATTTTGGCTGTTCCATTCGATAACCTTCAACTAATCTATTGAACAAGTCATTAAATTTTTGGATATCTAATAGAGCAAACAAAATAATGATATATATAGTCTTTTAAAAAATGATTAAATATAGCATAATAAAAAAATGAATAAATTATAAAATATTTACTTGGATATGGAGTAACAGCTAATGAGAATATTTCCCACAGAACAATACCAAATGCCCAAACATCAGATTGTGTTGAAAAAACTCGATCGCGGAGAGATTCAATTGCCATCCATTTTACTGGCAAAAGATCCTGTAAATTAAAAAATAATTAGATGTTACAAAATCTAACAAAACATTGTAAAAAAAAAAAAATAATAACTTTTAAGTTATACTACCTTATCAGACTTTTTTTTGTAGTTCTCACTATTGTACATAGTTTTTGCAAATCCAAAATCACATATTTTAACAATATTTTCTTCAGCCAATAAAATATTTCTTGTTGCTAAATCACCATGAAGAATCTAGAAAAAAAATTTCAATCATAAACTATTCATACATTTCTTATTTAAGAAATATACTTTTCTACTAGCAAGATATTCCATTCCTCTTGCTACTTGGAATGACCAACATATTAAGTCGTGGGTGCATGATGGTTTAACAATTAAATTTTTATAATCTCCTCGATAATTACTTCGCCATTCGGGTTCAACTTCATCAGGAACCAAATACCCATCAGAACCAATTTGAGTACTACTATCATCACATTTTTCAGGTAAAATGGTATTGTTAGGAACATTTACATAGTATGGATTTCTAATTAACAAAATATATTTAAAAATTATCATCAAATATTTACATTAGTTGCATAAAAATATAAAGTTCTAGTTCAAATTACTTAGATATTGCTTTAATATTGTAATCTAAAGAGCCATCTTTTGTGACTTGGTTCACAAAACAGTCCCTCTGCTTCAGCATATATTGATGAATATTTCCAAAACGGCAATATTCTACAATCACCATTAATTCTCCTAAAACATATAATCTAGTTATTAATCTAATAAAACATTTTAGCAATATTCACAATATTTTAAATATTATTACTTTTGTTTATATTTCCAGTGTAAGCTCCAAGTAAATTTACTACATTCAAATGCCTACCAAGATGTATCATAATCTTCAGTTCAGAAGCTAAGGCTTTAATGTATGATGGATCTGCATTTGGTTTAATCATTTTTACAGCAACAGTAGTAGTGGTGTCTTTATCAATTATACCAATTGCTTCAGCTTTAAAGACAACTCCAAATGCTCCTGAACCTAATTGCTTACCTAAGAATAAAATTATAAATATTATTAATTTATTTTAACTGTTAAAACTTTTTTTTTTTTAAACCGAGCTAAATTTATTAAATTTTTTACCAAGTTTTAGTTTATCTCTAGGAAACTCCCATCGTTTATCATAAGGAAGTAATTCTGCCTGTTCTTCAATCC